AGCTAATTTATCATATGCATAGTTCATTCATTTAATTATATAGCTAGTTTTTTTATATACATAGTTCATTATTCATATACCAAGTTTATTATCATATATATCTAGTTCATTTGTTATATACGCAGTAATTTTACCTAATATGTGTTATACGTGTACCTAGTTCATCTATCATATTACACCTAGTCCATTTATTATATAATCTGTACATTTGCTATACCAAGTACATTAATCATATTTCTAGTTCATTTGTTATAATATATATAGCTTCGTTTACACAATTATACAGTACATAATACATTTATCAGTATACAGTACAGAGTAAATTATCATTGACCGATATCATCTATCATTTATTTATGAGATATACACCTAGTTCATTTATCATATACATGTATGTAGTTCATTTATCATATACCTAGTTTATTTATTATATACATGTATGTAGTTCATTTATCATATACCTAGTTCATTTATCATATACATGTATGTAGTTCATTTATCATATACATGTATGTAGTTCATTTATCATTTATCATATACATATATGTAGTTCATTTATCATATACATGTATGTAGTTCATTTATCCTACACTTAGTTCATTTATTAGGTAACCAGTTCATAAAAAACTAGTTTTGTTTTTAATTATTTATCATACATCTCGTTCAATTATCATAAGATAATATCAAGTTCATTTGTTCAGTATAATATAGAACAATTCTGTCAATTCGCTGGGAAAATGGGTTACAATTAAAGGAAATGTTAATTCTAATGTTGTGGTTTACGGAATTGTTTCTAATAAAGGATACATATGCAAATATCATGCAAAAAGCAATTGACCACGTAAACTGTTTTTCTGGGCGGTTCTCTGTAGCTATAAGCATTCATGATGTTGTGTAAAAGGCTTAACCTTCAGCTTTAGCGAAACAGTCGAGAACTTTGGTGTACAACAACCGCTAAATAAGTGGCCTATGGTACTACATTTGAGATAAAATGTGATTCACCGCTATCAAGACAATCTGCTAAGTTAGACACGGTATTGTTCATTGGCTTCAACTCGAAACGGAAATCATGTTTGATCACACATAAAGTCGATAACACTCTACTTAATCATTCCAAGCTAATATTTTGAAAGGAAAAGATCGCTTGGAGATAATTGAATTTGTAACAGAGTTTAAAAAGCCATTTATTTTCAAAAAGTGACATTTGGTTTCCCTACTACAACGATTAAAGAGTTTCAATAGACTTTTTCTGACCTGCATATCGAAGATCAAGTAGTTGTGACGTCACTATCGTTAAAACCATAACGATATTTGTGTGAATTGCGCCAGTAACTGGTCAAGGTTTTTTTTTACTGGAACCAAAGACATCATATGATAAATAGGAATGGTGTAAAAATTGTTTCAAAGCAAAAAACATTCGGTGGTTATAAAACATTTTCTGAATCCTCGTAATTTGAATAGCCAGGTATAAAACCTGATTTGTCTTTTTTGGGGAGTTCTGTCGGTTATAAACAAGATTAAACAAAAAAAAAATCCTTTTAAATGCAAAATTAGATATTTAATCCAGTGATTCTAATATAGTTGAAGTTTAAGGAAAGGAACCATTTTTTTATAGGAATGGAGAAACTCACCTCCATTTACAAGAAAGTTAGAACGTCACATTGAAAATTGATAGACAGTATTTAAATTTCAAATCAAATTACAAATTCATCTAGTAAGGTAGAATTATTGTTGATCGATTCCTTTGTTGTAGATCAAGACTGGATTGGAAATGCTTTAGTTCTGAACCTTTCAAGTTCTTTACGATAAACACTGCCTAAAACCATTATTAATGTATTTTCTCCCGAAGATTAAAAAGAATATCATTATCCAAGCCTTTTTTTCTTTCTCTGATTCAACCTACGTGCGTTTGAGGCACTATTGAATTTTTTTTTATTTATATGTAAAACCACAATAACGATCAACTTGGTCGGCTCGGTAATCGTTCCGGAAAATACAAATTTGAAATGATGATTTTATGAGTTGATTGTGATTTGCTGGTCTTGCTGATATTGGTAAATTTATATTAGGTTCCCTGGTGTCCAAAGAGTTCATGAAGTTATTTTGTTATTTGTTTCAATTTATTCGCAGATTTGATATATCGTGTTTCAAATTCACATCCTAACGTGATAACAGGCCACTCAATGACCAAAATCACACCTACGTGTACAATATTACTAGTTGTGCACTTCCACTGGGACACTAGTGTTTCATATGGAACGGAAACAATCAAGGATAAACCCGTCTATTATTTCACTGGAAATTAGTAACGACGTGGTGATATCCGGTCTTCAAATCAAAAGAGTTGAATACATTAGTTTCAGCTAAACGTTTAATATTCAATCTCCGTGAAATACAAGGATGGATTTTAATGGATGGATTTTAAAGTATCTTCTTGTTTAATATAATTCGAATCCATGCATAGTCATAAATATTCAGCCATCTTATTACCCATCATTTATGGAAATGCCCATGATTTGAAATACGCATGACGGAAGTTAACAAAAGAACATCAAGCATGCTAGCTTTTTCTTTATATTCAAAGGTCCATCTTCGTTCTCAATAAATGCGTAACAGTTGCAATGTGTCTATAAACAATTATATTATCCAGACACGCTTATAATTGGTATTGCACATGACGTGATAATATGTTACTGATAATCACCTTCGTTTGAATTGTTACTACTGTTACTTACTACTACTGTTTCATGATGATTAACTAAATAAATCAAGGATACAGTCCAAATACAAACTATCGAATAAACCAGAAATAGCTGCTTTCTTAGTATGGATAGCACCGTGCACACTGGTTTTATATTTTCTAAATCCACGTAATTCATTCATCCTTCATTTTTACTGTCAATCATTTATGGATCATGATCATGCATGATTACATTGCCCTACAATAATTTTGGTTTATTAGAAAAGCATGATATTGATAGTTTCTAATTTGTTTTAAGTATTGATATTCAATGGCGTAGCCTGTTACATGCGCAGTTGCTTGGGTATACCATTACTAATAATGTTCATGATTTGATGATAACCGGGCTTTAAGTCGAGAATGGTAAATACGCTAGAAACAACCAAATAACCTCAAATGCTGCTCCATAAGAAGCAAACGCATGCGTACAGTCGTGTTCTTTGGTTATAACAGTTTCTTAATCCATGCAGATTCAGTAATATTCATCCTTTTTACAGACAATCATGACTGTCTTTTACAGACACTTTTGATTGTAGAAGAAAGGGGTATCAGATTTTCATTTTTCAATAGTCTGAAACTGAGTTCAAGCTTCGGGTCTTAAATGTTTTGACAACTGCAACCACTTTCTTTGCGGAATAGTTCACAATAATAAAACAACAACAGACTTAAGAACTATTTACAATTTAATAGGTAAAGATACATAATGCAGAACCGAACAATATTCTGTTATACGATGGTTTCATAAATATTCTAAAAGATCTGCAACGAAAATGTGCCAGTAAAATTAATGCCACGAAGGAATTATTTCCACAATAATAATCCTTGAAAATTTTGACAATTTACACTATGTCAACGATTTTGACACGTTCTCTTGGTCATTAACACCTTACTCTAGCGAGCTAACATTGCTCATATGTAGGATGCTGACCATATAATATAATTTGACATTGCACTTGCGAATATAGGATCTGATTCATCTTCTCAATGTCAAGCCATTATGAACTTTGTCTTAGACCTTGACTGCAAGGTTGGATTGTATGTCAGCCAAGACAGTCAATAAGAGCTCTCGACAGAAAATCTGTAAACAATAAGTTGCAATCCGTCGAGGGCTTGACTGGCTGTATTCGCTGGCGTATAATCCAATCATATTAGGTGAAGACAAAGTTTGTAAAATCTTCACATTGTGAGAATGGATCTGATTATGAGAAAAATAATTTACTTGGCACTAGTAATGAAAGATGTTTGGTATCTACATTGGTTTATAATTACATGAAGATATTCGGATATATGTATTGCACTTCATGATATACTAATATACTTATTTTTCTGAAAGTACTGAAAAGCATTCTGACGAAGTTTATTTAACCTTTGAGAATGTATAAAGAAAACTTATGGTTTTAATTTGAACCATTTTGTGGTTCCTCGAAGTACAACGCATGCGGGGTGGGAAGCCAGACAGGTAACAATGGAAGTTATAAGTATGCCAATCTTATTAAAAATTACAATTTTCGTTATCATTTTTTTTGTCGGTCTCCATTGTAATCTAACGAGATATGTACCAAAGTTACATACTCTTGATGTTGCAAGCAGACAATCATTTGACACTCTCCCGCCAGTCAGAATCACTTTTACCAGCGCGTATCGACAGTCTCATAATCTAATCGCTATCCCACAATTCATAGTCAATATATACATGGATTCTGCATGACCAGCTGTGATTGGTTGAAATGAACATCAACAGTAGGCGACCTTGGTGTAAATCTATACCTGGTTCACTTAGAAAGGTTACAAACCCTATTTTGTACAACTTTTATTACCGACTTAGTAATTCAGCAATAAATAAGAACAGTTTTTTTTTATTTTTTTGTGAAAGTTAATGTGTGAAAACAAAAGCCTACAACAAATATTGTCATTTCACTAAAGATTATGTAAGTACCAATTATTACAACCAATTATATAAAAGGGAGAATAAATGCATTCAGCTTTGAAATTATAATATCATTGGGCCACTTTAAGGCAACAATAAGAATCTACATAGAATCTATCAGAAACCTTTCCTCCAAATTATATACAGCTATCAATCATTTATCAGCTTATAAATACAATATTGTATGTCAAAGCATGTCAAACCATGTATGTTTGACAGTTAGTAAAAAGAAAGACATTTTAAACATTTAAATAAGAAGTCAAAATCCCACACTTCACATTTTATGTAAATGCATTTCTATCCACTATATTTCCACAATCTATTTTTAGCTTTTCAAGATATCATTGATGATGGCAATTTTTGAAGATATAAATAGGCCAGAGCTGTCAAAGCTAATGTCAAAGACTCCCTCCGACCAACACCAGTAAGAGCTTTTTGCCAGTCTACATGTCCTATGTGAGGATTAGCACCTTCAATGACTGATCCTATACTAACAGATAATCCAGCCCATCTTAAGGGATAATCCGCAGGTGTTTGATCCTGTGCTGTTAAAACATATTCAGTTGGAACTGGTGTAGGTTGAGAAAATGTCTGTAACTGTATCTTCTTGACAGGATCTTGGAGAACTATGCAACTCATTTCAAACCATCTGAAAAGCATTGTTAACAATAAGTATCAAACAGTATTACCGTTGGGCATGGACTCGAACATTTACACTACACAATGTCAAGCTATTGCACAATCTTTTTAATACCTTAAAGGGACAGATGCGCCATTGTTTATGACCAACCATACTTTAAGTCTCAGAAACAGGAATTTTTTAGCTAAGCCAATCAGTATTAGTGTTCACAGCTCATGGTCTAAATTTGAGCATTCAAATCCATGTGTGTCATGCGTCATATTCATTGCATTCTGTTACACAAGAAAAGAGGCCAATGAAGTCTAGGTATTAAATGCAGTTCATAATTGCTCGACATTGATAAGATGGGACTCAGACTAGTGACAGAGTTCAATATATCGAAAGGCAATTTTATTACCAATTTTATCTATAAAACCGAGCCAATAGCCTAGAGATTGTAAAGTGTATTCCCAGTTCTCCATTAATTCACTTAAGCTGCATACGCAGAGACTTTGACATTTTATTGTCATGCATCAGTGGATATGACCTTTTGCCTTCTCCATATTTAGCTAATTTCGGAAAATTTGCAAATATTCCCTATTGATTTAGAAATGCTAATCTAATAAGTACATGCATTGGTGTAACACTCAGGCCCTAAGTTTAATGTCAAGTTTGAGATTTAGCTCCATCCATCCAAAGAAAGAAAGAAACAAACAAACAACTATATTTTACAAGTTAAGGATCCTTTCTATCAGCTGATCCTTTGCAAAACCTCTTGGCATTGATCTTTCACAGGTTACCCATTTACAGTTGGGTTAACTAGAATTATGAGTGAAGTTGACTCATTCAAGGTCACCAGACTATCGCAAGCCGATCTAAATCGGAACCCACAGCTGCCATTTGCTCAAAAAGCAAATGACATCTTGTAAAGAACCACGGCTCTGAAGTGTGCTACACAACCTCAAAAAGGATAGAGATTGTCACTTACTTATCTGGTAATAGTTCTACAATAAAACCTTCTATAGAGACCACAACTTGTTCATCAGATATAATATTATTACGTCTTAGATTGAGTATTCTTTCCTCACTACCTTTTAAACCTGCAGTGTAACCAACTGGTTGAGCTGCTGTGCTAGAGTCACTTTCCTACAAAAATATTGAACAGAACATACAATGAATACAGAGCTAAATCAAACATTAGAGAAAAAGAGAGACAACTCAATGATATTCATGATCTTCACAATGTCAAATTATTACAAACTTTGTCTTTTCCTTCACTGCAATAGGCACCTTTCTTGTGTCACAGAAGTATGTAAATGCAGCAATTTGATAGGATTGTATGCAAAGGAATACAGCCAATCAGACCTCAACAGAAAGTCTGTAAACAATTAGCCAAAATTGTCAAGGGCTCTGATTGGCCGTATTTGTTAGTGTAAAATCCAATCAAATCACTACATTTCGTGACACAAAATAGGTGTCTATTGCAGGCAAGGTATACTTTATGTAACAAACTACACCTTTTTTTAGATACAAACTAAGAGCTCACCTCTCCTCTGATAGTTGCTCTACCAAAAACTGATTGAAAAGCTTCTCTTACAGCACCAACTTTATTTTCTTTATTAGAAGTTACAATAATATCAATATCTCCACCACTTCCTATATAATAAATAACAAATACTTGTTAAAACAATAAGAAAATACTTGTTAAAACAATAAGAAAATACTTGTTAAAACAATAAAAAATACTTGTTAAAACAATAAAAAATACTTGTTAAAACAATAAAAAAATACTTGTTAAAACAATAACAAAATACTTGTTAAAACAATAAAAAATACTTGTTAAAACAATAAAAAAATACTTGTTAAAACAATAAAAAATACTTGTTAAAACAATAAAAAATACTTGTTAAAACAATAAAAAAATACTTGTTAAAACAATAACAAAATACTTGTTAAAACAATAAAAAATACTTGTTAAAACAATAAAAAAAATACTTGTTAAAACATTAAAAAATATTTGTTAAAACAATAACAAAATACTTGTTAAAACAATAACAAATATTTGTTAAAACAATAACTAACTTGTTAAAACAATAACAAAATACTTGTTAAAACAATAACAAAATACTTGTTAAAACAATAACAAATACTTTTGAAAACATTAACAAAATACACTAAAACTTTTCTACTGAAACCGTTTTTTTTCTCAAAAATTGACTTGACGCTACGAAATGTTCCATTCACAGTATACACCAAGATGCAAAAATTGCAAAATTTTCAACATTTACACTACCACAATTACCAGCATTCTCAGACCGACTCGAGTAATGTATATGTATTAAAATTTCAAAATAACAGTAAGTATAAGAAGGTTAAAGGTTTATAAGAAGAAAACAACTATCTTTGACATTTATCAAACTCTAATTGTAAAATTTATTACTTTTTATTTTATAGCCAGTCTAACTGTCACAGAGACAATAAATTTTATAACAAGATTATTTATACTTCTTATTACCTCAAATCCTACACACATCATCTTTAACTAATACCTTGACTGCAATAGCCACTTTCCTTGTACAACAGAATGTAATTATTTGATTGGAGCATACACCATCAAAAAGAGCCAATCAGAGTCCTCCATGGAGAGACTTTAAGCAAGGCTTATACCATTAATATATTTTCTGTCAAGAGCTCTGATTGACTGTATTTGCCAGTGTACAAGCCAATCAAATAGCTGCATTTGCCAAAGTAAAGAAGATTAAAAGAAATACAGAAATTATTATCAATCCCATATGTAGTTGGAACTTCTGTTGTATTACATGTAGTAAGAAGACTATTTACATAATATATTGAAGATTCAAATCAACAATCCTAAAATGGCGCACCTGTCCCTTTAAGAACATGATAGCTTAATAAGGTCTTAATAAAAAACTGAAGGATAGAGCCTTATATGGATACATAAGAATATAAAAAAAAATTATAAATAGATACCAATTAATTTAAGGACCTGTGATTAGTGATTATGTGCTTACTAATCAAAAACTACCAGAGTCCATTAAAAACATGTCGATATGTAAACACAATAATAAAATTTAATGGATTATTAATTTGAAGATTATAAATGTGCTTGAACAGTTATTTACATTGTGTAACATCAATTTGTAATTTCATATTTGGTTACTCCCCTGTGACAACTAACAAATTTATATCAATATTTCATTTTTAATGATGAAAAGTGCTTCATAATCGACCCACTCTTTAATTGAAACAAGCTTGTGTTGTGCTGTAGACATGTGTTTCAGATACAATATCTCATCAGGACCAGATGTTTGAAAATTGCAGTTCATTTAGGCATTTAACCAAACTTTAAGTCCCGTCCTCTGGTGTGTTTAATAATTTTTTGATAATATCACATCAGATTGTGTCTAGTCATGGATCACAAATCAAATCGAAGTAATCTGTACTAATTGCTCCAGGGAAGTAAGCGAAATGAAAAAAAATGTTTATCCATTGATCTGATCTTACTATCATATCTTAATCAAATTCTACAAATCAGCTTAATATCCATCCATAGTTAACAGAACAGAAAAAGGTAGAGCTCTGAAAATGAGCAGATTGGTTACACTGTTAATGGATTGCAACACAGGCATTTAGACAAAGAAATTTATAATGGTAGCAGATGCATTTAAATAAATCTATCCGATATCCTTGACAAAATATATTCTGGATTTGCTTGACTGACCTGAAGGGTATTAGGATAGACTACTTTCAGATCGATCCAGAGATCTAATATGACAAAAGCTCTTTCAAAGTCTGCTAGTTAAAATAGGAATAGTATTATTAAATACTTACTAATAACTTCTTTCATACCAGGGTCTAAAGTTGTAATCACACTCTCCACTGAACTCTATATAAATATCAAAAAAAATTGTAAGCTTAAAGGCTAAAAAATCAGCCAGCCTGTGTTGGTCCAACAATGAAATTGGGAGTGATCGGGGAATATTTGTGATGTTAGATTGAAAGACATTCAGACATGTCTTGGCGGCAAGTAAGCTGGTGTTCCCAATAAATTGACGTGACCTAGTTAAAGGTCAACCAATAGAATTCCAGGTATGTATCACATGCTTACTTCAACATGTCGGCTTCCACGAACTCAGTGTCTTCATCTTCCATTCCAGTAGAAAGTAAGTGGATCATCAACACGGAAAACCAAAAAAACCAAACCAAGAATTCATTTTCTCCCCCCTCTGTCGCTGCATTTTCAATCTTGATTACATATTATGGTAGCTCTGTAAGTAGGTGCTAGAGGCGCAAGTAAGGTAAATGTGCCCTGGCCTTTAAATACTACATTGAATGCTGGTACTAATTTATTTGTATATTGAACCTCCTGAACCAATGCATTTTTTCTCAAAGTAAAATTAAAATTAACAACAGACTTTCCAAGTTAACCAATAAATAGAAAGAAAGAAACAACTATATTTTACAAGAATAAAACTTGTATTCCCTAGGATCTTTTATACCAGGATTTCAGTAGCCATTTTTAGCTGGGTCGATTGGAATTATTAGTAAAAATGACTTATTCAAGGACATCAGTTTCATCAGATGTTCACACGCCAACCAAAATATGAACCAATGACAACCATCTGTTCAACCTAACCAATCAAATGAGGTCATGCAAAGGACAAATACAGTAACTGCCTGTGCTACAAAATCACAGGCAAAAATGTCACAGGGGGAACACATTAACACCACCTGTACAACATTGTCCAGTGTTCATGTAGAACAAAACAAATTAACTGTTTTTGCAAGGATAGAAAATCTGCTTTAGATATCATGACAAGAACCAATTATGATTTTAATCTTTTTTTTTTAATAATATGAACTCTTCAGTTATCTGTTTCATCCGTATTTTTTCTGTAGACATCTAGATTCATCATCAGGCAATACAAAAGTAATGATAAAATTGAGATTAAAAATAGAATGGAATAGGGTAGAAAGAAAGATAATAATGGTTTAATTTTACTTTATATGGAGAACTATTTCTCTAGATTAAAGGGACAGATGCCACATCATTTTTGACCAATCAATCTTTTGTCTCAGAAATGGGATTTTTTTTTTACTAAGTCAATCAGTAATAGTGTTCACAGCTCATCATCGAAATTTGAGAATTCAAATCCATAGGTATCCGGAATTATCTGTGTTTGAATGTTAAAATGACGACTCATCATTTTAAGATACTCTTTGATATATAGAAAAGACATATAATTATATAGGATTAGTGAGTAAAATTCCTAGTTTGAAGTAATTTTAAAAGAATTATGTGATTTTAGTACATTTCTAGAACTACCGTAGACTATATGTATTTACATAATTCAAGACTAAAATCAACCCCTCATAATGGGGCACCTGTCCCTTTAAGAATTTACGCCACCATACTGTGACCTTATTAAGAAAATGAGAGAAAATTGAGAATTAATAAGAATTTACGTTGGTTCAGATGAAAGACGCTATTGGGTATAAAGCAATCATATCCATATAAGAACTCGCTAGTCAAAGAGGGAAAATTGGTTTCCCTGTCTGATAATTTACTCAAGTGCTGTTTCCCACGTTTAATCAAAAAAAGTTAAATGTAATGGTGTTTACATAAAATGACCCCAAAAAATCTCGTAATGTACTTTAGAAATGTTCTGTAATCTTGGTGGAAATAACATGAGACGGCAAGTAAGTGAAACGTCTTAAAGGGACACTTTCACCATCCATTTGACCAATTGTACCTTAGTCTCAGAAACGGGAATTTTTTAGCTTAGCTAATCAGTTATAGTGTTCACAGCTCACTGTTGAAATTTGAGCCTTCAAATTCATGTATGTCCAGTATTAATGGTTTGAAAGTTAAAATGACAACTCGTCTTTTCTTGATACTCCGCAATATATAAAAAATGAAAGTGAAATTTCTAATTCAAAGTATATTTGAAGGGAATTTTGTGCAGTAGTTGTGCAGATTTTTAGTAGTTCCGAAGACTCTTTACATATAGCCTATTCAAGATCCAAATCTCGCTGAAAATGGTGAAATATGGCCTTTAAAGTGCAAAATATACGCTTACATAAGCATATTTAACAATTCACAGCAGACTGACTAGGGACTATTATTGTCCACTGTAGAACGAAATTTATGGTACGGATGAAAAAATCAGGTATACTTCAAAAACAAAACTACAAAATGCCAACATCTAAAAATATTTTATCAGCTATATAAATCATAATTACATAATAACAAAATGGTATTATTATGTTCTAAGAAAAGTTTTAAATACTGTCACAATGAAAGAAAAAAACATTAACACAGACAGTCAGAATAAATTATTGTGGATGTTTTTCTTCAAAATGACATATCATTTGAAGAGGTGGTTATGACTTTTTTTTCTATGTTTTCCCGTTTCATAATATTAAAGGAACAGATGGGCCATATTTTTTTACAAATCATACCTAAGTCTCACAAACGGGGATTTTTTTAACTAAGCCAATCAGTAGTAGTGTTCACAGCTTGCTGTCAAAATTAAAACCTGCAAATCCGTGTGTGTCCAGAATTATCCGCATTTGAAAATTAAAAAGGCAAGTCGACTAATCTTGAGACACTTCCATTTATAGAAAAGACATATATAGAAAAATATTTTTAGTTTGAGATATTTTTGAAGCAATTATGCTATTTTCATACATTTCTAGTACTTATGAAGACTATCTACATATATTCAAGACTCAAATCAACCCCTCAAAAATGGCGAACCTATACCTTTGTGAACCTTCTATTGGGATATAGTTTTTCATAATCTAAATGATTCCAATTTGACTTGTTGTAACATCAATGAGCTAGAGATGTATGACAGGATAGCATTAATGTTTAACTTCTCCTGGGGGGATTTCTTAATGTTATAAACTGATAGATAAAGTTGATAGCTATCAGACAAATTAAACATGGATGAAATATTGTCGACAATCCACCCAGAGTTGCCTACTGATAGGAATGCTTTTGATGTACGCATCAGAATTATTATAAAATTTCATGAATCTCCCAAAAGATGATATTGTTATTATTGCTTTTTATTAACTTTTTCAAGAATTTTCATATATTAGGATATTTCGAAAAAAAGTAATTAGTCCCATGTCTTCCCAATGTCAAACTTCATCATATACTTTGACTGCAATAGGCACTTTTCTTTCACAGAACACACAATGACAGAATTATCATACAAGTCGTGTAAGATTTGATCTTTTGAATCTTTAAGCTTATATTTAATAAAAACCATTTTGCTGTATTTTAAAAAAATTTTATTACAGGGATCCCTTTTCAATACAGAATTATCGCATAAGTCATGTATCATTTGATCTTTCATAAACACAGATCTATATATTTAACCACCATAAATAAGAAGTATTTTACCTTATTTTTTTAAATTTTACCAAAATAATACTGAAATAATTAAAGAGATATCACAGGGGATCCCTTTTTATTACAGCATTATCGCATATGTCATGTATTATTTAATCTTTCATAAACACACCTATATATTTAATCACCATAAAACAATCATTTTGCCTTTGTTTTTTTCAATTTTACCAAAATATTACCGAAATAATTAAAGAGACATTACAGGGGATCCCTTTTTATTACAGCAATATTGTATAAGTCAGACATTATTTGATCTTTCATAAACATATCTATATATTTAAGCACCATAAATAACAATCATTTTTCCTTATTTTTTTCAAGTTTACAAAAATATTACCAAAATAATTGAAGAGATGTCACCGGGATCCCTTTTATATAGCATTATCGCATAAGTCAGGTATCATTTGATCGTTTGCAAACACACCTATATATTTAACCACCATAAAACAATCATTTTGCCTTTTTTTATTTCAATTTTACCAAAATATTACCCAAATATTTGAAGAGATATTACAGAGATCCCATTTTAATACACCATTATTGAATAAGTCAGACTTTATTTGATCTTTCGCAAGAAGATCTATATATTTAACCACCATAAATAACAATCATTTTACCTTATTTTTTTCAATTTTACCAAAATAATACTGAAATAATTGAAGAGATATTACAGAGATCCCTTTTTAATACAGCATTATTGCAAAAGTCAGACTTTATTTGATCTTTCGCAAGCACATCTATCTATTTAACCACCATAAATAACAATCAATTTGCCATATTTTTATTCAATTTTTTGTATACTAATTTATAGCAAATTGGTCTTTAATAGCATAAACTAGATTTAGATTAAAAAGTATTTTGTGTCAAAGTGATAAATCATTGCTAAGGTTAATGCTAATTTACCAATTGAGGCCAGATTGGAATACCATTAACTAATAATTTAGAATTGATTTAACTAATAACTACAATTTAACACCTTCCGGCAGTAAATCATTGGTACATATCTTTACGTTTTACTTTGATATACTTATAGTGGAAAGTGGAATTTTCCATGTTTTCTATGGAAAGACAAGTCTGGTGCACATTCACTCTTTTTTTAAAAGAATTCTTAATGGGTTACTGATGGCGTCGAAGTATCAAGAATATATGTAGTCACTTGCCAACTTTTCATGGTGACTTTGGCACTTCTAGCGGCCTCCTTGTTGAAATGAGCAACAAACTAACAACAAATGATTGCCATCCGCAGCTTTCATCCTCTTATATCTGCTAGGCGATTGGGAAAGTGGGTTCAAATTCTCTTCAAGGTAAGAAAAATTCTGATGTCTGTGCCTGTGCTTTCAAAAGAGCTAATACCAAAAACTAGCCTATAAGGTACCTCAGGACATCTGTCAATCAAAACGGTCAGATATTCCTAGATCACTTTCAATTTTGTTGTACAACACTGACTGATTTTTCTCCCAGTGGGTGCTGTGGTATTCACAACAATTACTCTGTTAATATACAAGAGAGGGAGTGGCCTTTATTTTACACATAGCCCATATAATTGTGATTGACATATTTAGTCCCTCCCTTTGCATCTGATTACTCTTAACCGTTTTCTCTTGAAATATTGAACTTAATCTAACTTACCTTTGTTTTTTCAACAACCTTAGAGACCAGACTATTACCAGATATCCATCCTAGGAGTCCACCACTAGCTTGTGCTTGAGATGAAGAACCACTGGCTGGCACAGGTTGTGTTGGTTCACTTCTAGGTACATGTGGACTCTGTATTGAGGCTGAAACACAATGGATGTGCAAAATAAATTAGGTTATTAAATTTTAGCTCTAAGCCACAAACTTCACAAATTTAATTGAATCTGTGCTTCATCTCTATAATAGTAGTGCACTTAGCCAATAATAAAATTATCTAAGAAAGTGATGTCTAATATCTTAAAAAATCTGTGTAATGAATTGAAGATAGATTCAGATAGTGTATCCCGAATACGGGTTTAGAAACTGTCTTCGTTTTGTGGTGTTAAAATTAATTTTGGTGCTATTTATATCTGACCTATCAGAATGCAGTTTTGATTTAACGCAAATTTCTAGTGTTTGGAGGTGTATCATTTTTATATGCCCATGCCTATGCTTCAGGTAAAAATTCCTGAAAAAATATTTTCAATTTTGATGTAAATGTTTACATATAAAAGATGATCTCTATTTATATTTTGGAGACAATAAAAAAAATTTGGATTCTAAAACAGAACCTGAAACATGTTTTTCCTCAAGAGTTTCACACAGTGCAATCTCCTGGAGACTAATATCATGTTTCAGGTTCTGCTTTGATCTGTATCATCTACAAGTAATGTATTGAACACTATTAAATGTATTTAACAGTAAAAATATGTGTTACTGTAAATTTGGATAGACACATTTATCATTTTACCAGTGTATTGTCCAACCTAAATGTGTTTTTCTTTGATATTTCAAGTTTCAATAAAAACTAAATATTGAATTCTGTAACAAAAGATTCTAGTAGTAAATCTCAATTAGCTGATAATAGTTTTCTCTCAAAATATCAAAATGTATTTACGATGATGGAATGGTAGTTTAATGTACTAAAGGAAAACACATTAAAAATTCAAGATCCAGCCTTTTGGGTATACCATTAATATACTTTTATATCTTAAAAACACTAATGTAGGTTCTAAACAGTTGTCTGTTACTACTGAAAATTTCGAACTGAAAATGAAGTAACACCTTTTTGGATATCAGCTAAAATGACACGCTCTAAATGACAAAAACTTATCACTTGCAACATGATTGTAAAATTTATTGTCTGTTTGGCAGCCGATTAAAAAACATATCCTGTAGAAATATTTACTCATTGGGCTAGATTTTCTGAATTAAGGACACTATATGTCAGAAAAGGTATTAGACTTTTGTGTTTTCTGTGTTAAGTTACTTTCCATTTAGGAGAACTATACTCCATCATCATTTTAAAGGGACAGATTCGCCATTTTCAGAGATTGATTTGAAACTCAAATATAGAAGTACTAGAAATATATGAAAATTCCATAATTCCTTCAAAAATTTCTCTAGGAAATTTACTCACTATTTCTATATATGTCTATTCTATATATGGCAGTGTCTCATAAAAAGATGAGTTGTCATTTTAACATTGAAACACAGCGAGTTCTGGACTGACATGAATTTGAAGGATCAAATTTCAATGATGAGCTGTGAACACTATTACTGATAGGCTTAGCTAAAATTTTCCCGTTTCTGAGACTAAGGTTTGATAGGTCAAAAAATTGCGCACCTGTTCCTTTAAGGGCATTTATGTCAGAAAAGGTTATTAAATTTTTGCTCAGCATAAATTTATCTTTCCTTTGGGAGAAACATACTCTATCATCATTTTAAGTCAATATTTTCTATCAATTTGATATCACTTCATAACGAATCAAGTTATTAAGAATTTATAAGCAATAAATATCAATACATCAGTTAATATAAATGTCAAATATACTATATTACAGTAATTATAGATCATATTACTACCAGTGGGTGCTATATTGTCAAAACCATTCAGTTAACACATCAATCAAAATTACTTGGATAATTCAAGTCAAATCATCATTTTTTTACTCATAGTATCATATAGACCTACATCATCTTCACAATGTCAAGCTATTATGAACTTTGTACTTATACCTTAACAGCAATAGCCACAATTCTTGTATCATGAAATGCAGCAATTTGATTGGATTGTACAATATGATTGCCAGCGAATAGAGCCAATCAGAATTTTCTATAGAAGGCTGTAAACATTTGCGTTCACAGAAGTTCTGCCAAGGCCTCTGATTGGCATGTATTCGCTAGCATACAATCCAATCATATCGCTTCATTTACAAACTTCCATGATACAAGAAAGGTGACCATTGCAATCAAGGTATAAGTATGAAGTCCATATTATTGAATGTCCATACTCTCAAAACTCATTAGATTTAGGTCAGAAAAATAGAACACACTTCAAGGGAGGTAATTTGGTTGAAATATACAAGTTTTTAGATTTAGCTCAGAATAACAAAGCACACTTCAAGGGAGGTAATTTTGTTGAAATTAAACAACTCTATAGATTTAGGTTAAAATAATAGAACACTCATTAAGGGAGATAATTTGGTTGAAATAAACAACTTATTAGATTTAGGTCAGAATAACAGAAAACTCTTTAAAGGAGGTAATTTGGTTGAAATATAGGTCTAACACTTTCTAGATTAAGGTTAGAATAACAGAACACTCTTTAAGGGACAACTGATTGGAGGGTTCTGAAAAGATTCCGTCTGTTCCAATTCTGTCTTCAATTGAAGGGTACTATTTCTTTCCCCGCCATTTTGAATTCTGTCTACACCCTACTTTTTTTCAGAACACATAGAACAAAATCCTAACCCTGTTCCAACTTGTTTTATTGAACTTCCAGTTTATTCCATGAATCCTGAACATGCAATTTACCAATCTAGCAACCCCCATGTTTCTTGCTCAGCTTAATTCAATGATTTGTTTTCAGACAACAAATAAATAACTTACCTGGTTCAGTCTTTAATACATTTGGTGCATGGGAGAGAACTCCACTAACTGTTGGTGTAGAAATACTGAAAAGAAAAGTATCAAAAAGTTTTATTTTTCAGAAAGCAATGACATAGATCATCTTGGACTATAAAAGTCTGACTTGTCAAGCAAAGATATCTAGGAACAACAGGGTCCTATTCAAAATAGAAGTAATGGTAGTCCATTTTAAATTTGGGCAGAAGAAAATATGGTAATTGAAAATGTTTGCAAATGTCTCCCTGCTCGACTATACATGATTAATGAATTCATTAATGTACTTACGTTGGAGGGGAGCTAACTCCACTTGATGGAATCTGGAAAAAGAACATAATAAAGTACTTTTAAGGATAATACTAATTGTCACAAACAAGCATTTCTTTGATAAAGCATCAAACCAAAATCTACTCTACCATCCAAATTATGTTTAACAAGTTCTCATTGGTCAAGCACTTGAACGCAAATATGTTTCTAAAAACCAGAAGTCAAGATATTAATGCTATTAAAGGATTGATGTCTAAAATAATTGCCATGGTAACCTTTGATGTTGGAGAGGTCTCAGAAGTCAAGATAGTAATGCTATTAAAGGATTTAGTCAAAAATAATTGCCATGGTTACCTTTGATGTTGGCGAAGTCATGATAGATGGTAATGGTGATGGTGATGGTAAATTACTAAAACCACTAGATTTACTTACAGCACCTGAAAATAAACCAAAACCTTTTGAGATACACCACAAAATGACAAAATGATCAAATGAATGTTAATGCACATTCAGGGACAGGTATGCCATTTTTTTGACCAATCGTACTTTAGTCTCAGAAACTGGAATTATTTAGCTAAGCTAATCAGTAAAAGTGTTCACAGCTCACCATCAAATCCATGTGTGTCCAGAATTATCCACATTTGAATGTTAAAATGACGACTCGTTAATCTTGATTTATGGATCCAAGATACCCATTTAGAACTGTATAAAAAGTAAAACCATGAGTTGACTTGTAATAAAGGAAAAAATAAACCACATGCCAACAGTAAGTAAAAAGTCAATACAATAAGAGTAAATGTGGCTACGTGTTTTTCGCTTGGAAAATGGATTAGTCCCGAAACACAGTCACATTTACTCTTATTGTATCAGCTTTTTACTCATGGTTTGCACGTTATCGTGGGATTTATTTTTCCATTTAGAACTAGAACTACTGGGTTGCAGTTTATAAGTTTGTTTCAAGGATATTTGAACAAGGATCAAAACGATTGTTATAAGTCTATAGAGATGAGTACATACTAGATTTGGTGGCCTCTTTTTCAGCTTCTTCTACTTCTTCTCGTGTAACTATTTCTGGTTGTTCATCAGATGATGTTTCTTCCATCATTTTATCAATGTTATTTGTTTATCTGTAAAATTAATGGCAGATAGTTAGCTTCATTACTTTGAAGAAGTGCAGTGTATAATGAGGGAAATTTTGCCAGAACAGCATTTTCCATTGACATCTATCTCTCACACATTACATGCACAGTCAGGTTATTGAATAAGCTGTGCAGAAAATGGGTGCCAAGAAGATAAGTATTATTTTTTATTTTAAAACATAAAGCCTATCACAGACGAGAGGAACTAGCTGAGCTGCCTGCCTCAAGAGGTTGGGAGCTAAGCTGTTTCCCCAACTGAATATGCTATTTATTCTGCGAAATTCCAAAACAGGGAAATGCTAGGCCATTTTTGTGCCATTTCAGTTATGTGACACGGATACAGTCCAAACGTTCTTCTTATGAGCTCAGACGAGAGCTCTCTTATGTGGTGAAAAAAGTAATGAGAATGTTACTCTGCTAATGGCCCCTCGAGGCAGGCAGCTCAGCTAGTTTCTCTAGACAGTCGTCTGCAGCAGACTTTAGCTTATCTATCAAAGTTGTACAGTTCTGTTTTTCCCTTGTAAGTGATGCAAGTCAGAGGGCTTTTCAGATGGCACAATAAATCATGTCTCTGTGTGCTGCAGACTATGCATGACTATTTGTAATCAGAATAGGCAAGCTATTGAAGCAGTCAAGGCAAAATTTCTTCATTGCACACTGCATGGCTTTCCACCCACTTAATCAGATAAATCAGGAGAAAAAAAACAACACATAAACTCATTTATTTTCATTTTACTTTATGTAAAGTCAAGTAATGTCATGGAACGAAAGAGGACCAATTCCCCCTATCAATTTGATATTATTGTTGAATATTTACCAATATGGCAATGAAAATCCGATTCCTGAATCATCTTAACTGTGAATTGAAGTATCTAAGAGTTACCTGATAGTCTCAATCAATTAGTTTTTCATTAACGTCTTCTGAACTTGTTTTAATTGTCATAAACGATTAACTACGCTTAGTAGAGGAAATCCGATGTTTTTCTTTTCTACAGTGATATGACGTCATAGCATAAGCCACGTCCACAGAAAAGGTGATTCCCATTCTAAAAATAACTCTATAGTTATCTCCCTTACATCAGAAATAGCTTTCCTTAGGGTAAACTATGGAAAAGTCGGACGTTTCATTTCAATTGACTTCAAGAACACATATAGTTGCCTTTCATGCAGTCATAACCTCTTATGGTCAAAGATCATAGCATCGTTTAACTATCTTTAGCTTTACTTTAAGCTCTACCATCGCCGTTTCTAAATTAGCGAAAATTGATGCTTCTAAATGAAGCATGTTTAGTTAATTCCCATGGGATGGGAAATTTGTCCACAATTTTTGCCATGTTCTTGTTGATGTTAGCGACGAGTACTTGGGTTTAAAACAACATTATTATTTATTTTGATTGATTTAATATATATCACTGTGCTTCCTAGACCGAAAAATTTGTTTCTATTCCAGCCTCTGATAGCTATTCGGATAGATGTCAGCAGGTGTAGAGACAGAAAACATAGGCGCTATTAAATGGGTTCATTCCGCATCTCCGCGGTTTTTATTTAAAACCTATTTAGATACTTTGGATCTGCAAAACCCAGATATATTTGGAAAGATGGATATTTTTGTAGTGCAGTCACACCACCAGTTTCTGCATACACGATTTATGTAACGTCTCCGGATCTATCAAAGTTTTTTTTAACGAAACTGATCTAGCATAGGCCATTTAAGACTGCGTGCACAGTTAAAGGCTCAAAGGTCACGGAGTAACGTAATAGTAACAAAACGATGCCCAACATTAATTTAGAACTTTCGTAAAGGTAATTTAATATTGTGTTAGAAAAAACGCATCTTCAGAGGTGTGGAAAATCCCCATTTTAACAGGGTCTTTTTTTCTACTCCAGCTGACAACTGTCAAAATATCCATCAGAGGTTGGAATAGGGTCAGTTGTTTCGGACTATCCGCTTCCCTTCCCGGGATATCCCGGAGGTGTCGGGGATGTGGTCAACTCTTGTAGGAGGGGAATTTATAAATGGAGAACAGTATGGTTTCAGGATTGTTAGTTCATGTATCTTAATCGATGGACATGTATCATCTATAACCATACAGTCAACCTAGTCCGGTTTGGACCCTGGACAGTATTAGCTTGAATGGAAAGCTATATAATTTTCAATGTTTTGTTTGTGGGGTAAAAATATGCAAAACGATATATACAGTAAAGGCTCCAAAGGATCCCCGTATGGCCCAATAATACATTTTTTCTTTTTGTAAAAATATGCATTATTTCATTGTTAATATCAATAACCCTTCAAACCCTGCATAAAACGCAAGATATTAGTGCATATGTTCAAAATTGTCGGGGTGGGGTGGGGGTGTGGACATGATTCCTGATCCCTCTTAGAATGAAATAGAAAAAAATTGGCATTATCTCTATTCAATCCAGTGGTGTATTTAGGTGGTGGGATTAAGCCCTCTTAATACTGAAAATTCACCACAGGCCATTTGAAATCCTGTTGGCCTCTGGGAGCCTCTGGTCTCAAGGGTATCTAGTCCTTCAAAGCTCTCCTCTATGTTGGTTTCGTCAAAAACAGACTCATATTTATAAGATACATTTTATTGCCCACAAGGTCAAGTAAGTTCACAAATATCCCTTAAAGAGATAAAATAACAAATATTATACATATAACCGACATAATAATATTTACAATAATTGTTTCTGGTAAGATATTCATTTTATTGCACTTTTCGACATATTTCTTTTAAACTTTTCAGAATTAGCTTTTAAACATATCACATAAGAGTTTTTCCATGGGCATGCTACCAATAGTTCTTCCAAAGAACAACCTCTCTATTCTGTCGACCGGTATATATCTCAAAGCTGGTAATGTTAACAAAAGTCGACCAAATCTGAAATGAAGAAGCACTCGACTTAAATTTCTAAGATATTTTCAAGGTTATAATAAATAAAACAGGTACTAACGATCCAAACCGCAAAATGAAACCCGAAATCCAAAACAACATTTTAACGAAACATTGGTAGCAGCTAATGAACTTTTCACACGATTACTGATCAATTATAATTAAGTATTTCAAAATGAAAGGTGGTATCAGGTGTCTAGAAGCAGTCCATGGAAAACAATACCCCTTCCTCAGGCGTGATATACTCTTACCCCTCGAAGGGCAGAAGGGCAGAAGGACAGCCTCCCAAATAAATTGTTCTTGTAATCAAGTGTTTTATTCTATTACAACTATTAGAAAAACAACAAATTCAGAACTATGTGCAACACATTAGTGAATAATTTTCATCTTTCCATACATATAGAATTGTTAGAAATTGCCTTGTAAAATCTCAAACTAATGAATTTGGGACGACAAAATATTAACCTATTCAAGGTCATCTGTGTTTTGCATGTCACTCTTGAATTGAATCCAATATTATCACCATTTATTTGACGACGTCACGATTCCGGCAGCTCACCCTCAAAATTTTACTTACCGGAAAGGTCGTGTAGGATGTTGAGCTCTTATATGTTGTCCCAACATAACCTGTGCTTGGTCTTGTAGATTTTCAACTTGCGATGGATCTTTTAAACCACGAGTTTCTGAAAAGACGAGAAAGAAAACATGTGAACATTGAAAAGCGAGTCAGTATTGAAATTCTTGGTTCCGTCCTGTACATTTTGGAGAATCAGACCATTCCTTCCCCGAAATCAAACGTTTTAACCAATTTTTCCTTTATTTATTTACATCAAGGACAATCTGTTAACTTTCTGATTTATATATACAGCTCAAAGTATTTGGTTTTTTATAATAAATATTTTGTTAAGGCAAAGCAAACCTACCTGGTTTGAAGAGAACGATGGCTTTCAGACAAGCAAACTCTGCCGGGTCTACACAGACGGCTTTAAATCTATTCGTCACTTCCTGTAAAACGCGCATGTCACTGTATGGGGAAACTTTTCCAGATTGTGTAGAATGACCATGATCAGGAAGTAGAAATAAAGGACAAGCTTCCATGGGCATCGACCATTGTATAGCACACAATAAAAATAACTCGCTCCAGGCTTCTTCCAGTAATATCACCTGAAGGAACAAAAAGAGTTGAATTCAGATATAAAAGGCACTGTGGGCATATTTTTCCTTGAATCAAGAGATGGAGAACTTTGCTAAATTAAAGATGAGATGAACACTGTTTTTCTCGAAAATACCGTTAGATCTAGATCTGACTGAAGTAATCAAAATAGAGCTCTATTACGAGCAAAGAATATACTAATTTGTAATGTCTACGAATGGGATACAGAGTGAACTAAGCCAGCTGCACAGTGATGTCCATTAACGCCAGAACCACACCTCTGCTGTAGTGGGAACATCAATGTTCTCTGATGTTCGAACTTCCAGAATCACATTATCACGTAAAAACTATTACCGGCAAACGGTAGATCACTTGATGGATATTTCAGACATAGCAATCATTAACTAACCTGATCTCGGAATGGTAAATTTGAAAATGATGGTAGATTTTTTGACCATTTGACAGCCATAAACAAGAGTCGAGCGGAACATTCATAAATAGTTTCTTGACCAGCTGGGAATAAGATAGGTTCTGGATATATGGTAGTTTGTGGTCTGGGTCGTTCTTGTTCTACACTGGTAACATCTATATTCTCTTCATTACCTGATAATACAAGACAAAACAATAATGATGAATCAAAATGTCAAACAACCAAAAACCATTGGAAGAAGTCAACATAATCATTCTGAAATAATCATTCTGAAATAATTTTTCTGAAATAATCATTCTGAAATAATCATTCTAAAATAATCATTCAAACATAATCATTCTAACACGATCATCCTAAAATAATGATTCTGAAATAATCATTTCAAAGATAATCTTTCTGAAATAATCATTCTGAAGTAATCATTCTGAAGTAATAATTTCTGAGAAAACCTACAATAACACCAGAAATCAAACTAATAATTCTGAAGAAATCATTGTCGACACCTAAATAATTAATCAACCAAAAACCATTGCAAAATAATCGTTCTTAGAAAAATTTAATTAATCATTCTTAGGCAACCACCGCTAACAGATAAAAAGAAACTAACGCAACCAAAACAATATAAAAAATCTTTTGGACTCACCTATATCATCAGGTTCTAGCTTGGCACCAGTTTCTGCGGTCATTAGACTGGCCATAAATCTATGGGTAGCTCCAGGACTGAAAGCAGGATGAGTGGCCGAGACTGTAGCATTATTTACTGACATGGGATGTTCTAGTTCTCTTTCTATCTGATCTTCACGAACTTGGGCTGTATTCCTTGGTTGACGTTCATTTTGAACAGCTAAAATTCACAACGAAAAAAATAATTAGGAACTTTCATTTATGAATTTATGAATTTATTTATTAGATTATATATGTTATTTATTTACATAAATTTATTTAAAATCCTATTTATTTATTTACGCATATGCATAATATGCGTCTTTGTTATTTTGCGTTTATCGGTGCGGTTGCTTCAATTTGTGGTATTTCATCATGAGAATATTCAATATGGAAGTTTTAACAAACAATATCAAATAATGACAGTAGACTAATATATATATTAAAAAGATATTATATTTCCAATTTCAACCATCTGGAAATATATCAGATCAGATAACCAACCATTCACAATTCAACATTGATTTTTTACATCCCAAATATTTAGTTTCTTTTTTGAGATATAATTTTATATCATGTACGTGATGAAAGGTGCTATGTAAAAGGCGTGAGATAAAGCATCTGTTAAAAGGTATATAGTAATATTGTGAGTGTAAACAATGAGTGAAAAACAATTGATTTCACTCTTATGATAATCAACAACTTTATACTTAGTACATCCCCACAATGTCAAGCTATTACGAACTGCGTCTTATATCTTGACTGCAATAGCCACATTTCTTGTATCATTTGATTTGATTGGATTTGATTTGTATGCAAGTGGATACAGTCAATGGTAGCCACTGAAACAATATCTTTAATTGTTTAGAGCCCTTATGTCGAGGGTTATGATTGGCTGTATTAGCTAACGTACAATCCAATCAAATCGCTGCCTACACAAACTTCCATGATATACAGTCAAAGTATCACACACAATTCGTAATATTTTGACATTTTGAAAATAGTGTATTAAGCATTATATGGAACAGATAATACTTAGCCTTACAAAAATTCTAGATCAGTATAGTGATAAGTTTTCACGAAGAATAAAGGAATGCTAACTGCTGGGCGCTTGATATAAGCAATCGAAATTTAATAGCAAAACTGTTGATTTTCATGCTTTAAGATCTTCCACTATGCACTTGGTGATGATTTGAGGAAATCTTTTGCTTGTAAGAATTTTTATAACAATATATTTCAGCTATATATTATTCAGAGTATATTATATTATTGATGAAAAATTCTAAGAAGTAAAACAACCAACAGACAATAGGACAACCATGGAATGAAATCGAATTTTTTATCACGATTCAAAAATGAATCATGGAACGACCGCACACTTAATCCTATATGAGTTAAATTTAATCTCCGTGTATGTATTGTTAGCAATAAATACCTGAATTTGGAATATATAAGTATTGAATATGAATAGAAGGAAAAAGTAAAGCTACGAATGTGCTAGAAAGCAGTCAAAAGACAATAGGACAAACACATAAAATAACATTGAATTTTTCATCACGATAATTCTATTTTCAAATTATGGTTAATCTTGAAACGACTGCAAGCTAAATCTCGCGACATGTATATTGTTAAATATAAATACTTGAATTTGGAATATATAAATATTAAATATGAAATATTAATGATAATAAATGAGGCATGCACGTGATTTATTGTTTATTAAATGTTATCTATATTAATATATCTATATCACCTGCTACAGAACTAACTTTCGTGTTGATTCAATGGTTGTATTCTATACTACCAATTGGTTTTCGTTTTTAATTTAGATGTTATCATAGCATCATATTTATTGAATTTTAACACTAATTATCTAATTTTTGTCATATGTTAGTGTTCCAATATTAATATCTTATATGTAGTGTATTTTTTTTTTAATTTTCCTTATGTAAAGTTAAAAAAGTGGTACTATGCACCGATATACCTATAGTATAGTTTTAATTAACTAATTTATAGTCTAAAAGCAGCAGACATAAAACTGAATTTTATAGCAATTTTTTTTTGAAAATTTGGCCTTTATATAAGTTATAACTAAAGTTCATCATACAAGCATAACTTATCTATTGACGTTAATAAATATATTATATCTCTGGAAAGAGTTAATTTATATATCTGGAAAGAGTTAATCTATATCTCTGAAAAAGTTAATTTATATCTCTGGAAAGAGTTAATTTATATCTCTGAAAAGAGTTAATTTATATCTCTGAAAAAGAGTTAATTTATATCTCTGAAAAATAGTTAATTTATATCCCTGAAAAGAGTTCATCTATATCTCTGAAAAAGAGTTAATTTATATCTCTGAAGAGTTAATTTATATTTCTGGAAAGAGTTCATTTATATCTCTGGAAAGAGTTTATTTATATCTCTGATTTGTTTTTATCTTTGTTCAAAAATGAAGCAAAATCGTATCCAGAAATATGTTCCAATTTCAAGGCTATGAAGCTTTTAAGGGAAATTTTGAAACTTAAATTGATTATCAACTCACCGTCCTTGTTCATACCAAGTGTAATACATTTCTTTAATCTACAGGCTTGACACTGATTTCTGTGTGCTTTATCTACATTACACATACCAGTTCCTGCTTGACATCTACAAATATACAAAATTATACAATATAAGTAAATGCAAGGTCCTGCTTGACATCTACAAATATACAAAATTATACAATATAAGTAAATACAAGTTCCTGCTTGACATCTACAAATATACAAATTACACAATATAAGTAAAAACCAGTTCCTGCTTGACATCTACAAATATACAAATTATACAATATAAGTAAAAACCAGTTCCTGCTTGACATCTACAAATATACAAAAAATTATACAATAAAAAGTAAATTAGTTTACTAATAATATTATATATACAAAAATATATTGATTGCTTTGGTGAATTTTGCATCATAAAATCGTATCATATATTCAAGCTTAAGATAACTTTTTTTATTTATTATTTTCAATTTTCAATTTCAATAACATTACAATAATTACATATAAATAATTGTGTATAATATCCCACGTTTTGTATGACATCCTGTGTTTTGTATAATATCCTGTGTTTGTATAATATTCCGTGTTTTGTATAATATTCTGTGTTTTGTATAATATTCTGTGTTTTGTATAATATTCTGTGTTTTGTATGATATTCTGCGTTTTGTATAAAATCCTTCGTTTTTGATAATATCCCATGGACGTTTATATCATATCCTGTGGTTTTTATAATATCCTGCGTTTTGTATAATATTCTGCGTTTTTGTATGATATTCTGCGTTTTATTCAGTAGTGATAAATGAAATGGACAGTTTGAAATAATGAAAGACGGTCAGAATTGAAATTTTAAAAAGTATTTCTAGTGAAAATTGATTTTGTTCTCTTATTTTTTTCAAGAGAATTAAACTTGGTGTGGTCTCATATCATAAACAAGTCTCAAGTGATTATTTGGTTGTAAATTGAGTGTCTCTAATCCCTATTGAAATATACACAGAAGCGAAGTAGAGTAGGTTTATATATAAACTAACAAGTTGAATATATTCATTGTTAGTTTATTTATTCCATTAACAATGTTTATTGTATCTATCTACAAACTGTAAACATTGAAGATTAGGAAGGAAAAAGCAAACATTGAAATCTCGTTAAGAAAAAGAAATGGAAACTAATTCAATTTCATTGTCATTTATTTCACTTAATGTAGTTGATATCCGAGTTGAAAAGACGAAAGTGAAAATCTCGTTTGTTTTTCATATCAAAGATTTCTCTCGTTGTTTTTTTTTCACATTCTGCTTCTTTGCCTTATTTATAAGCCTATTTTTATTTTTACTTCAAAAAATTATTTCTTAACAGTCTATGTGCGTGTGACGTGTTTGCGTTATTTATGCGAATTGAATCTTTAAAGTTCAAGAAAATTTCAGCGACAGAAAGTAAATTTATCATTTGCCAATGGTTAAAGTGATGGGAAAAAAGTATAACTGTAAACATCATGCCACTAGTGTGGACACCAAACCATTACTAGCAAAAACTGTACTGCATTTTCGTGTGAAGCTTTTTAGACGTTAAAATCCAATGTATTCGTTCGATTGTGGCTCAGTGTATTCCAACCTATTTGATAAAGAATCAAAAAATATTTCACTAACCGATAGATTAACTTTCGTCTTACACTTCTCTTGAAGAATCCACTACAACCATTACAAGCTAAGATACCATAATGTTTACCACTGGACGTATCACCACATACAAGACAAACCAGTCCTGGTAAACCCTTTCTCATTGGTCCACATGATGGTGAGAGACTACGGTATGATGATGGTGATCCTAGTCCAGTATCACTGTTACACAGTATGAGAGGTGGTGGTGAAGGTGATTTACAGATTGATACTGTTACTGCTGGTGGTGACGGTCTTGGTGATAAATCTTGTGGTTCTGAAATAATAACAGATGAATATAGTTTTTCTGAGCAATTGATTATGATGCTTTTATAACACAGTATGAGAGGTGGTGTTGATGGTGATTTACAGATTGATACTGTTAATGCTGGTGGTGACGGTCTTGGTGATAAATCTTGCTGTTCTGAAATAATTACATTTTCCTTGAGCAATTTCGTCTGATGCTTTTAAGACGTAGCACTCCAACTTATTCTTTCAATTGTGGCTCATTGCATTACAACATAATCACTCGCGGCGCAAGCGTCCCGAGATTGGGGGTACAAATACGGGGCAGACTGCGCCAGCTCTTTGGAAGCTCCAGACAGAAGAATATTTGTGAAAAATGGAATTATTTCGTTTATTACATTCATATTTTTAAACTTGTTACAAATGAAGTAAGAGTACAATAAGGAGTACAAATCATTTCTTTAAGGGGGTAAATGTTCCCCTCTCCTACCCCCTTTCCATTTTACACCCACTGGTCAACGACAGTGGCAGAGGCACTTTATAAAAATAATTTTGAGTAATAAACATCGCACACTTTTATGAAAATAATTCTTAAAGGAAACCATCGACCTCTCCTAAAAGTACTGTTTATTATCGTGAAAAAATTTGAATGAAATAAATAATAGATGATATCAACACTGTGAGGTAAAAGATAAGATGAGAAAACAAGAGAAGGGAATATCATGTTAACATGCTATAGACAATAACATTATACATAATAATTGAACGTTTTCTAATAGATAACCTTTTAATATTAACAACATACACAGCCAGCCTGGTCTCCTTCCACCTGTACCTTTCAATTTTTACTGATAGAAAAATTAAATATTTATAACCATTCGATCTCGTCGGTTGTTAAAATCAGAGTAAAAACGTCTGATGGGATCGAAAAGAAGCGGAATTCAAATGGCAAAGAAAAGGTTAAGGGTATAACGTCTATCGGTCGTTTTCTGTTTTATTGCTCGATGGCGTTTTAATTTGGATAAAAGGAAACTATCATTTCCGCCATAGAAAATCATTGGTGAAATCATATTGATCTCTAGAGCTCACAATAATCGCTCCATTGATCTTTTGAGATGTCGGAAGACAAAGAGAAATTTGTAAAAAGTCGAAATGTCAGGTAATTCCCATGAGACGAACTTTAAGAATAACATAAATCACCTTTTAGCTAGAAAACTCCGTCTTTCTGTTACCTGACATCAGACGGAAAAATAAAAGAAAATTAATTTGAAAATATCGTCTATTGATGAATTTTTGACGAGATAATCTCGAAACAGTTTCACGATAGCGTGCTAGGAAAGATTTAGATTTAGTTTATAATTTTCACAAACAATTGTGTGACAAGAGATTTTATAATCATTTTGATCTATGCTAAAAATTAAACTATCTTATCAGAAAGAAGAGAATTAGGCTTATCTTCTTTCATTTTAGCTCAGAAATGTTTCAAATTTCCTGTTGTCTTTTCTTTCGCACGCGAATTTTGCGTTAAAATGGTTATTTACCAATGGACATAATAATATTCAACTTTGTAAACGTATATTATATAATATAATTTATGAAATTGCTTTTCATATACAGGCTACGTAACGTCTATTTCTTGTAATATTTAGTAGGTTTTTGATAAATAAATACAATGGTATCTTTTAAAAAAAAATATATTTTGCCTTCACCACTCGAAAATTACGTTTATTATATATCTTTACTATGCTTTATCCCCAAAAAACTGTGTAACACTTGGCTACATTGATAATAATATACACTTTCGCAGTCTAATATTTACGACATTTTTCTAATATGATATAATTTTAATTAAAGGGACATTCCGCTTTTTTAAGGCCGAAATTTTTTCCCTCAAATTTGTGAAAACTATACACCAAAATCTAGAGAAATAACCCCTTTAACGTATCTGAAAGTTTTAACTAAAAAAATCCAGCCGTTAATTTTTAATCGCCAAAAATATTTATAAACATTACGTAAGGTTTTGAAGTTCTTTTTGTCTAATTGTAGAGAAATATGTCTCCTACATATTCTAAAGGTTTCAACTAAGTATAACGAGCTTTTAAAAAGTCAAATATCAAAACCTAGTTTGCCACTAATATCATTCAAACCAAATAGTGTTTGCCACAAATATCATTCAAGCCAAAAGTGTTTGCCACAAATATCATCCAAGCCAAATAGTATTTGCCACAAATATCATATAAGCCTAATAGTGTTTGCCACAGATATTATTCAAGCCAAATAGTGTTTGCCACAAATATCATCAAAGCCAAAAGTGTTTGCCACAAATATCATCCAAGCCTAATAGTGTTTGCCACAGATATTATTCAAGCCAAATAGTGTTTGCCACAAATATCATCCAAGCCAAAAGTGTTTGCCACAAATATCATCCAAGCCTAATAGTGTTTGCCACAAGCCAAATAGTGTTTGCCACAAATATCATTTAAGCTAGATAGTGTTTGTTACGAATATCATATAAGCCAATTAGTGTTTGCCACAAATATCATTCAAGCCAAATGTTGTTTGCGAATAGGCGACAAAGTCCGGAAAAAGATTTTAGTTTCATCGTAAAACCATAAAAAATCAGAAATAGAATTCAAGATTTTATAAAAATTTTAGGGTTTTTGGACAAGTAATGAAAAAGTGTGTGTTTTCTACCTTACACCCCTAGAGAATATCTCTTATTGATGTCATATTTGATAGAATACACTTTAATCCTTTTATGATAATCAGATAAACATACCAGTTTTTATATACTATCATTTTCACAACAATATACTCTTGTTTACCTACTTAATAAATTCTCATTTGACAAAGAAATAAATTGGACACAAACTCAGCACTGTCTTGTCATCTCTAAGTTTTAATTTTACACCCCCGTGTTGTGTTGACTCAAGCCGCCTGACAGAATAAAGAAAATTTCAAATCAAAGGAGAAGGTAGTGGGATGTGACAATAACTGAAAAGGCGTCAGAGTATCAAAGATGATTTGAATATGGTATTAGCATTAAGAAATTGATATTGAAAGTAGATGCTACGTTCAAAATATTAACATATTTGACATGTGGGTTATTTGAAAATTATTTTAATCTTCAAACTTCAAAAGACTGTCGAGTTTGATAGTGGAATCGAGAACAGAAAAAACTACATCTTGATCTTCTTTTATGAAATTTAAAATCTCTTTTATGAGAATTTCTGATTTAATTACATTAATGCAATTTTCCTTTTTATATATATGTATACACATAAATATGATTAACGCTTGCTATGGGATGGATATTGTGCTTGGTGTGCATTTTAAACGTGTTTCAAATAGTATGCACCGGCAACTCCACCAAGGAAATGTTTAGCTTTCAAACTTAAGACGAAAGCTAAAGAGTTCATTCAAACAAAAGGGTCAATAAAAATTAATTTTTTTTTATCTGTTAGAAAAGGGTGGAAGCTATTCCATTTTTCCATTTTTGCTTGGAATTGTGCAATGCGCCATTTTTTGACCAATCACACTATAGTCTCAGAAACGGGATTTGTTTTTAGCTAAGCCATCAATAATAGTGTTCACTGCTCACTGTAGAAATTTGAGCCTTCAAATCCATGTGTGTCCAGAATTATCCGCGTTTGAAAGTTAAAAAGACGAGTCGTCTTTTCTTGAGGCACTTATAAAGGACATCTATAGAAATAGGAAAATAAATTTCTAGTTTGAGATAATCTTGAGCAACTTTTTAGATAGCTTTTGAAGCTTTTTTTCTATTCCAAATGTTATTGCTTCAATTTTTGTTGAAAGTTGAAAGTCACTGAAAATAACGCAGTGGTTCATCTCATTTGCATATTGAAATAAAAGATTGTATTTTTTATGGAGAACGAGTCAAAAGAGTAGATAAGATTAACTCTGTCTTTTATTCTACCTAGTTTAATATACAGATCACGAAACAGTTAATACCCAAACAAACGAAATGTACGAATTGAGATTATTAATACGGCGACTGTTTGATGTTCATCCTTTCTATTTTATTATGTGACGTCTGTCGTTTGATCCCTGATACAAAAGGATATATTTACTAAAATGTCTAAGAACTTTTTGTAATTTTTTACCAACATTTTTCCAACACGATCCTGTCACAATGAGCAACTTTTCCCTTTTTTCTTTTTTTTCTCACTAACAATGTCCAAATGTTTTACAATAATTTTCCAACATGATCTGGGGCAGCTTTTCTCTAACAATCGTCCAGTTTTCCCCCAAATCTTTACTAACATTTTTCCAACATGATCTGTTTACACATGGGCAACATTTCAACAACATTTAAACAACACAACAGGCACCAACTCTGTCTACATTCTTCAACATGATGTTGGAACCAGGAATGTTAGAGAAATGTTGATATTGTCAACGCACTGTTTCCCCAACATTTGTCCAACATTTGACCAACATTTTCAAACATGATCTGTCTACATGACTTGAGTAATATTTCAAAAACAAGCAACAACTCTGCATAGACTTGCCAACATTTCTCCATCATGGAGAAAAGTTCTAACATGATCTGTCTACTTGAGCAACATTTTAACAACAATCAACATCTCTACCTTATCCTACCAACATTTTCTCAACATGGTGTTGGAACCTAGAATGTTGGAGAAAGGTTCGAGAAATGTTGATAATGTCAACGCACCTTTTTTCAACAGTAGTCCAACTTTTTACCAACATTCCAACAACATTTAAAAAAAACAAGCAACAACTCTGTCAAGATCTGCCAACATTTCTCCAACATGGTGTTGGAACCAGGAATGTTGGAGAAATGTTATAAAAAATTAATGATGATATGTCAACGCACTATAAAACTCTACTGTTT